TCGTAATTATTTTCGTATGTCTGGTGCAAGTTTTACAATCTCGCAGTTTCTCTTCCCTCCCCAGTAGCAAGCTGCGCATTTACCCCACTTCTTAAGCCCGTGATCGCGAACCTATGACATGCGTGTCAGTACTGACATGCATAGCCATTTCTACTGACACGCGCCCGCCGGATATTATTTGTTTATTTATTTTATGCCATTTTAAAAAATAAATAGGAAAGAAATTATTATTTGGCAATGTTTCCTAAATATTAAGGAGTTTCATATTTAAACTGAATGATAAATACTATTACTTTGCTATATTATTCAAATATTAAAGTGCATTAAATTAAATGTCAAATTTAAAAATATTTAATTATTAATATTTAGGTAGCATTGCAAAATAATATTGGTTTATTTAATTATTAAGTAAACGAATATTATTTTGCATTGTTTTCTAAATATTAAGGAGTTACATATTTAAATTAAATTAAATGATAAATAATACTTTGCTATAATACTCAAATATTTCAGAATGCTTTAAATGAAATGGTAAATTGAATTTTAATTTGACATTTAATTTAATGCATTTTAATTTAATGCATTTTAAATATTTTAATATATGCCTTAATATATGTGTGTGTGTGTGTGTGTGTGTGTATGCCTTAAATGAAATGGTAATTTAAATATCTAAATATTATTTTGCAACGTTACTTTATTGTTATTGCATTATTATTATTATTAGAAATACATTAAATAGCATATTAAATGCTAGAAATACATTTAAATTAAATTAAAAATAAATAATATTTTGTTGGGTTTACAAAATTATATTTTTATTAAACACTCCAAAAAGGATATTATTTACATAAAGAGAGGTAGAACAACATGATAAGAGAGAAAGTGGGAATTATAATTATATATTTTTTTGTTATTTAAACTAAATATTGCGAAATTGTGGTTTTATTTCTTGAAGTGACACACCACCTGAATTATGCTCAGTTTTTGGGCGAATTTTGACACACCATGCTCAAAAGGTTGCCCATCTCTGTCCTAAGCGATGAATTTCCTCTCTCTCTCCCCTCCTGCCGGCCACCGTTGCTCTGCTGCTTCCCTCCTCTTTCCTCATGCTTCTTCTTGCCTCACTCTGGGCTGCACTGGGCTTCCTTCCTTCCTTCCTTCCTTCCTTCCTTCCTTCCTTCCTTCCTTCCTTCCTTCCTTCCAGCTGGCAAATCCCACATTCCCCCCTCCCTCCTCTTTCTCCTGGCATCCTTCTTGCCCAAAATTTCTCATTACTTTATTTTTCATACCATCACTCTATGCCACACAATGCGTTGCCAGGTACAGCTAGTATAATATATAATATAATATATACATTTATTTATTTATTTATTTATTTATTTATTTATTTGGTACACTTATATACCGCCAGTATCTCAGCCTAGAACGGCGACTCACTGCGGTTAACAGCATTTAAAACAACAATAAAAAATATAAAAACACATACATATATAAAACACAGTATTGGGCCACCAATACAGACCAGTGCATCTCTTAAATAAAAATCACAGTCCAATTCATTGTCGGTGATTGCCAGTCCTTGGTCAAAAACAACATCGTGACAGATTAGCCGAATGCTTGCTCAAACATCCATGTTTTTAGTTTTTTCCGAAATATCATCAGTGAGGAGGCTGATCTTATCTCTATAGGGAGGGCATTCCAAAGCCGCGGGGCCACCACAGAAAAGGCCCTATCTCTCGTTCCCGCCAACCGCACCTGTGAAGCAGGCGGGATAGAGAGAAGGGCCTCTCCCGAAGATCTTAGGGTCCTGGTGGGCTGATAGGCCGAGATACGTTCGGATAGATATGTTGGGCCAGAACCGTTTAGGGCTTTAAAGGCCAGTGCCAGCACTTTGAATTGGGTCCGGAAGCTTATCGGCAGCCAGTGGAGCTGGTACAGCAAAGGAGTTGTATGCTCCCTGCGTCCTGCTCCTGTTAGTACCATGGCTGCCGCCCGTTGGACTAGTGGAGCTTCCGAGCAGTCTTCAAGGGCAACCCCACGTAGAGAGCGTTGCAGTAGTCTAAGCGGGATGTAACCAGAGCGTGGACTACCGTGGCCAAGTCAGACTTCCCAAGGTACGGTCGCAGCTGGCGCACGAGTTTTAACTGTGCGAATGCTCCCCTGGTCACCGCCGAAACCTGGGGATCCAGGCTCAGCGATGAGTCCAGGATCACACCCAAGCTGCGAACCTGTGTCTTCAGGGGGAGTGCGACCCCGTCTAACACAGGCTGTAACCCTATGCCCTGTTCGGCCTTGCGACTGACCAGGAGGACCTCTGTCTTGTCTGGATTCAATTTCAATTTGTTCGCCCTCATCCAGACCGTCACAGCGGCCAAGCACCGGTTCAGGACCTGGACAGCCTCCTTAGTAGCAGGTGGGAAGGAGTGACAGAGTTGGACATCATCTGCGTACAGATGACACCGCACCCCGAAACTCCGGATGATCTCGCCCAGCGGCTTCATGTAGATGTTAAACAACATGGGGGACAGTATTGAACCCTGAGGAACCCCACAAAACAAAGGTTGTGGGGTAGAACAGGAGTCCCCCAGTAACACCTTCTGAGACCGACCCTCGAGGAATGACCGGAGCCACTGCAAAGCAGTACCTCCAAGGCCCATTCCCGCGAGGCGTCCCAGAAGGATACCGTGGTCGACGGTATCGAAGGCCGCTGAGAGGTCAAGTAGCACCAACAGGGACACACTCCCCCTGTCGAGCTCCCGACGGAGATCATCCACTAAGGCGACCAAGGCTGTCTCGGTACCATGCCCCGGCCTAAAGCCAGACTGTGCCGGATCCAGATAATCCGTGTCTACCAAGAATGCCTGGAGTTGTGAGGCCACCACACGTTCCATGACTTTGCCCAAAAAGGGGAGATTGGAATATAATATAATAATAATTTAGTAATATAATGTATAATATAATGATATAATATACAGTAATATAATATAATAATATAATAATAATATATACAATTATAATATAATATAATAATAATATAGTAATATAATATATAATATAATATAATATACAGTAATATATTATTATTATTATTATTATTATTATTATTATTATTATTAACTTTATTTGTACCCCGCTAGCATCTCCTGAAGGACTCGATGCGGCTTACACAGGCCGAAGCCTCAGAACACAATACAATAGAAACATAACACAACAAAAACAAAGCAAATCAAAATAATTAAGCAAAATAACAGCAACAGTGACAATACATCAAGACACTTTAAAACTGGGCCGGCCGGCGCAATGGGGTACAGGGTTAAAAGTGCTGAAATGGCAGGAGGAACGTAGGATTAAATAGTGCGGTGTGCAGCAATATTGATTGTACTAAAGTGCTTCTAGGACTTGGGATTGTATATTATATTATTATATTATATAGGTTGGACTACTGTAATGCGCTCTATGTGGGGCTGCCCTTGAAAACGGCTCGGAAATTCCAACTGGTCCAACGGGCAGCAGCCAGGATGTTAACTGGGGCTCCTTACAGAGAGAGGTCAACCCTCCTGTTCAAGGAGCTCCACTGGCTGCCGTTTTTCCGAGCCCAATTTAAGGTGCAGGTGCTTACCTACAAAGCCCTGAACGGTTTGGGACCAGCCTACCTGCGTGACCGCATCTCCATCTACGAACCCACGCGTTCTCTTCGCTCATCTGGAGAGGCCCTGCTTGTGATCCCACCTGCGTCGCAAGCGCGGTTGGTGGGGACACGAGACGGGGCCTTTTCCGTGGTGGCCTCCCGACTCTTGAATACCCTCCCCAAAGTTCTTAGACAGGTCCCTACATTGGCAGTCTTCAGAAAGAACTTGAAGACCTGGCTGTTCTGATGTGCCTTCCCAGAATAGGAAATCTCCAATACCAAGTCCCATAAGCAATTTATTAAATTAAGATTGCCGCACTCTGCACACTGCACTTGCCCTATAAGCCTTATATACCTCCTGTCACACCAGCACTTTTTAACTCTTGTACCCATTACTCTGGCCCGGGCCAGCTTTATTGCGTCTTAGTGCATTGTTTATTACTTGTTGTTTATATTGCTTTCATTGTTTTTAATTTGCCTTAGGTTTTGTATTGTTATGTTGTGTGTTGAGGCCTTGGCCTTTGTAAGCCGCATCGAGTCCTTCGGGAGATGCTAGCGGGGTACAAATAAAATTAATAATAATAATAATAATAATAATAATATTATATTATAATATTGTTATATTATATTATTGTATATTATATTATATTATTATAACAACAAAAATAGCTAGAAACACTTAATTCAGTATATATCAAGAACTTAAAGTCTGTAGCAAATTGCTGTACAAAAAACGTAACTTAGCAAATAATCCGGATTATCCTGGTATATAATCTGGGATAACAGAACGTTCAAGCAAACTGCTTCAAAACCACAGGGTTAGAAAACACAAGGAAACAAGGTGGAAGCAAGGAAAAGCGTTCTCAAAAAACTGTCCCAAGCCCATAGCACGTCCAAAAGCAGAAGATTGAGTCAGAATGAGATGTCCATCCAAAAACAATCCGAAGTAGGAATGGAGTCCGCACTTACAGGAATCCAGTCTTTAAAACGCTTTAAAACGGCTTGTCTTAACCCAGCTAATCGTCTTCCTGGCCCAGCAGCTTAAAACTTTTATTATTATATATTATATTATATATTATATTATATTATATTATATTAATTATTATAATATTATATATTATATTATTGTATATTATATTATTATATTATATATTATATTACTATATTATTATATTATATTGTATTATATTATATTATATGTTATAATTGTATATTATATTAATATAATTGTATATTAAAGCACCCCTGACAGATGGCCATCCATTCTTAATAATAATAAATATGCTGTGTTTGTGTTGTTTGGATTACTTTTTACTTTTAGAAAGCACTTTTTCTCAGCTCATAATTCTGTTTTGTTTACCTTCCTTTTCAGTCATCTCTTCCACAAGAACTGTATCGACCCCTGGCTGCTGGAGCACAGAACGTGTCCCATGTGTAAATGCGACATACTCAAAGCTCTCGGAATCGAGGTAAAGCTATAGTTCCTACTCACAGGCACAATCACCTGACTTCCTGGACTTTTGATTGCGTTACTAAGCTTGATAAGTTGTCATTAAGGCAAACTCAGCGGAAAAGCGACTCCACTGCTGATTAGAAGGCAAAGTATGTGCGTCTCATTACATGTCATTGACATTACATTCCAGCGCTGAACAAATTCCAGTGCTAAAGGTTTGGTTGTTGGGTGTAGTGTCTGGGTAAGAATGTTTACCCTGCAGAAAAATGAAGATAAATGTATTGTGTATATGTCTGTATAAGTCAAGGGCAGGTTTTGGAGTCAGAAGTTTGGATTTTGATACGACCCAAGGATAAGTCAAAGCTGCCCCTCAACTTTGGAACTCCCTTCTTCTTCCCAAAGAAGCCAGAATGAGTCTCTTTATGGAGAAAAAGAGCAGAATATAAATAAACATCAATAATAATAATAATAATAATGGCCCACTCCCTGCTATCCTTCGGGGCAGCCTCAGGCCTTTTTATTCAGGCAGGCTTCTATTATTTATTTATTTGCGGCATTTATATGCCGCCCTTCTCACCCCGAAGGGGACTCAGAACGGCTTACAATATATATTTTCATACAATATATTATATTATTAGCATAGTACAATATCCGTATATATTACTATATTGCACTATACCATTATATGTGCTCCTGCAATTTGAGGTACAAAGGAAGGCCGAAACTAAGACAAGTCAAACCCGCAATTTTGGACTTTAGGAGAGCTGATTTCCAAAAAATGAAGGAAACGCTGAGCAGCATTCCGTGGACACAGATACTAAAAGACAAGGGAGTTACGGATGGATGGGAATTTCTCAAGAGTGAAATACTCAAGGCGCAATTGCAAACCGTGCCAACAAAGAGAAAAAATAGGACAAGTGCAAAGAAGCCAGAATGGATGTCCAAAGAACTTCTAACTGTGCTAAGACACAAAAGAGACATGCACAAGAAGTGGAAAAAGGGAGAAATCACCAAAGAAGAATTCAAACAAATAGCCAACACCTGTAGGGAAAAGGTCCGCAAGGCTAAAAAAAACGAGCTCAGACTTGCCAGGGACATTAAAAACATATGCCTTCTTTGCCTCGGTCTTCTCACAAAAAGAGAGTCAGAAAACAAGCTTGCTCCCTCCTCCCTGTGGCTTCCTCTCACATATTTATACATGCTATCATATCTCCTCTCAGCCTTCTCTTCTTCAGGCTAAACATGCCCAGCTCCTTAAGCCGCTCCTCATAGGGCTTGTTCTCCAGACCCTTGATCATTTTAGTCGCCCTCTTCCTCTGGACACATTCCAGCTTGTCAATATCTCTCTTGAACTGTGAGAGCCATTCAGCAGTGGAACTCTCTGCCCCGGAGTGTGGTGGAAGCTCCTTCTTTGGAAGCTTTGAAACAGAGGCTGGATGGCCATCTGTCAGGGGTGCTTTGAATGCAATATTCCTGCTTCTTGGCAGAATGGGGTTGGACTGGATGGCCCAGGAGGTCTCTTCCAACTCTTTGATTCTATGATTCTACTTTCCGGACATCCCTCGTGCATCTTGCAAAGCCTCTCTAGTGTCAGATTGGAATCAGTTTGTTTGGCTAAAATATTTAATAGGCTTGTGCATGAGTATATACACAATAGTGCTAACAAAACCCACTCCTTTGTGTTCAATGTCCTTGGCACAGGTGGATATTGAAGACGGGGCAGAGTCCGTCCAACCCACCGAACCCTCGGTTCCGGAAGCCGACAATCATAGTGAGACAGCATCGTCGGGCTATGCGTCCGTTCAGGGAGCCGATGAGCCTGCTCCAGAGGAACCTGCCCATTCGGAGAGTAAGTGGAGCATTGCTTTGCAGGTTACGCTGTCGCTTTCTGGTTTTTCCTGTTTGGAAATAGTAATGTGTCAGAGTGTTTTATCATCATTGTTATTATTTCCTTGGCCTTTGAAATGAAGCCTTAGCTCAAGTGTGTGCAAACTTGGGCCCTCAGGGTGTTTTGGACTCCAACTCCCACCATTCCTAATAGCCTCAGGCCCCTTCCTTTTCCCCCTCAGCCGCTTAAGCGGCGGAGGGGGAAAAGGAAAGGGCCTGAGCAGAGGCAGCCCTAGGTAATTTTCAACGGTAAGCAAACAGTATTTTGGCCCCCCCCCCCCACAACCAATCATTGATATATATTTTGTATTCGTCGTGGGAGTTCTGTGTGCCATATTTGGTTCAATTCCATCATTGGTGGAGTTCAGAATGCTCTTTGATTGTAGGTGAACTATACATCCCAGTAACTACACTTGCCGCACTTGCTCCCTTGCCTGGCCAGCTTTGGGTCCGGAGGCGTGCCTGAAGACCCCGGCGTGTGCACCAAAAGTCACCTCTTCTCCTGACTTTCTCCTCAGCCATTGGGACCAAGAGAGAGAGAGAGAGAGAGGTGGAGATGCCCACCTTTCCTGAAGGTAGGCGCAAAAACAAAGGAGGGAGCGGAGGTGGGAGATACCTCCAGCCAGAGGGGCTCTCTCTCTCTCTCTTGGTCCCAATGGCTGAAGAGAAAGGCAGGAGAAGAGGCGACTTTTGGTGTGCACGCTGGGGTCTTCAGACACGCCTCCGGACCCGAAGCGGGCCAGGCGTGGCAGCTCCGCCCCTTGGCCCACCTGCGGATTGGGGAGAGGAGAGGAGGCGGGTGGAGCGCCGGGGGATTGGGAAAGGGGGCCGGTCATGGGGAAGGGATCGAACGCAGAGAACGATTGAGCGCCGGCTCTGCTCGCGCACCCGGTGGCCGGGTGGAGCAGGAACGAGAGGGGCTAGGCGAGGCTCAAGGGCCCGGCCCCTTTGGGAAGAGGATCGCCCGCCAGCGAGGCAAGAAAGCCGAGGCTCCCCTGGACTGCTAGGGCTGTTGTGAGCTGAGGGGGCGCTCCTCAAGTGGCGGTCGAGGGGCATTTACAGAGGCGCCTCTGCGCCCCTGGCAAAAAAAGTGTTCTGCGACTGCTTACTTTGCGTAATGGACGAGCCGCCTCTGGGCCTGAGGCTGTTAGGAATGGTGGAAGTTGGAGTCCAAATGCATCTGAGAAATTGAAAAGAGTCCTGGTATTTGGCGCCACCTGCTGGGTTCCTGACAATTAATCAACTGGAGTGCTGTGGTTTTGGCTGTGAGTTTTAGTGATCCTTAGTGATCCACATTCTTTCTATTATTCATGTTGACTGAGTGAAATTATCCTTTGCAAAAGCCTAGGATAAAATTTGGGCCAAAATCTTTTTCAGTTTCCCATCATTCTACTTTTGTCCCAAATATATGTGAACCAAAATATTTGTAGTTTGTTCAAATAATAGTAATAATAGTAATCATCATCATCTATATATATATATAAATGTAATGTTCGTTTTGGGATTAACAGAACTCAAAAACCACTGGGGGTATTGACACCAAATTTGGACACTATATCCCTAACAACCCAATGTATGTCCTTCACTCATAAAAACACTGAAAAACACAGCAGAAGGGACTTAAAAGCCCCAAAAAGCTAAAATGACGAAAAGCTAAATGACAATACAGAAAAAAGGAAGAAAGAGGGAGGGAAGGGGAGAAAAAGAAAGAAGAAAAGAAAAGATGGGAAGCAAAGAGAGAAGGAGAAGGAAGAGAGGTAGAGAAGGAAGAAAGGAGAGAAAGAGGGAGGGAAAGAAAAAAGGGGGAAGGAAAGTTAGAGAAGGAAGGAAGGAGAGAAGGAAAGAAAAAAGGGAAAGAAGGAAGGAAAGAGGGAGCGAAGGGGAAGATGTAGAGAAAGAGGGAGAAGAGAAAAAGGAAAGAGAGAAGGAAGAAAGAGAGAGCAGAAGAGAAAGAAAAAGGAAGGAAAGAGATAGAGAAGGAAGGAAGAAGAGAAGGAAAGACAGGTAGGAAGGAAGGAGGAAGGAAGGAAAGAGGGAGTGAAGGAAAGAGGGGAAGAAGGAGAGAAAGAGGGAAGGTTAGCCACAGCAACAGCTAGTAATCTATATAAATAAAAATGTAATGTTCGTTTGTGGGATTAGCATAACTCAAAAACCACTGGACGAATTGACACAAAATTTGGACACAAGACACATAATAGGCCAATAAATGACCATCACTCATAAAATATTGAAATACACAGAAAAAGAGACTTAAAAAGCCATTAAAAATTACAACACATGCGCAAAACCACACATATACACACAAAGCACATATACACAGACTGGGTGACAACAACCTGTGGCAGGGGACAGCTAATAATAATAATAATAATAATAATAATAATAATAAAGCTGATACGATATGAGAATTTAGAGATCGAACTGCAAAGACTCTGGCACAAGCCAGTAAAGGTGGTCCCAGTGGTGATTGGCACACTGGGTACAGTGCGTAAAGACCTTGGGGGGAATGTTTTGTTGAGAGCTGATTTGATGTGCCTGATTGTTTACTCTCTGGCTACCAGTATTAAAAAAAACTCAAAAATTACAGCAAAACAACAGAGAGTAAACAATCAGGCACATCAAATCACTCTCAACAAAAGATTCCCCCCAGGCACTTCCAAGCCATAAAATGCTAATCAAGGTGGTCAGTTGAAACATTCCCACCTAGCTCCAGCAGACAAAAGTCCTTTGTCCCACCCTGGCCATTCCACAGATATATAAACCCATTTTCCTACTTCCAACAGACCTCTGAGGATGCTTGCCATAGATGCAGGCAAAACGTCAGGAGAAAATGCCTCTAGAACATGTCCATATAGTCCGGAAAATCCTACAACAACCCAATTAGGAAATATGTGAAGGAAAATTGGGAGAGTAGGTTGGAGGAGAGAGACAAAGAATTATTGGAACAACCTATTAAGAAGACAGAAATAAAGGAAGTTATTAAGAATTTAGAAGCTGGGAAAGCTCCAGGTCTGGATGGTCTGGGAACAGAAAAGCTTTAGAGAAGTATTGATTCCAAAATTATTAGAACTGTATAATGGAATAATGAAAGGAGATAAGATGCCAGAATCATGGAGGAAGTCATTGATAATATTAATACCAAAACCTGATAAAGATTTAACAGACCCAGGGTCATATAGGCCCATATCATAATCAAGATGCAAAGATTTTATCTGCTATAATAGCCAATAGAATGAATAAATGCATGTGTAAATATATTAAAAAAGATCAGTGTGGGTTTGTAAAAGGACGGCAAATGTCAAATTTGATAAGGAAAGTTGCCGAGTTTCCAACAGACCTCACAACTTCTGAGGATGCCTGCCATAGATGTGGGCAAAACATCAGGAGAGAATGCTTCTGAAACATGGCCAAAAAACTCACAGCAACCTAATAATTCCAGCCATGAAGGCCTTCGAGAACACGTGGAATGCATGCAGCTTATTTCTGACCGTTCTGTCTAAGCTTGGTTTGTATTCCTTTTCTTTCTCCAAAAGACGACAACCTCCAGCTGGTGAACAACAACGTGCTGCAGCCTCCGCCCGTCGACGTGCTTCCGCATCTTGACAATCCGGCTTTTGAGGCCGACGAAGCACAAGCCCAGGAAGCAAAGTCTTAAAACGACTGTCGGGGACAAAACTGCTTATCCGCTTGACAAACTAATGACAAATCTGATGAGACGGGTGTAGCAACAACGTTGCCTTGATAATGCGATACACTTGCACCATTTTAAGATTGCGTTTCTGTGGATTGACTTTCCTATGAACTTACTTCCTGGTGGAAATAGCCGTGGCACTCTTCCACACATGCTTTCCTTTCGGTTTATGATAAAGTCTTAAGACCAAGGCATCGGAGCACAAACACTTTTTTTTTTTTGCATGCATGCCATGTAACTTAATTTATTGAAACTACAAAAATGGTTCAGTTGACCCTTTGGATCCAGGTCGGCAAAGTCAACGCCACGGCCCAATATTTTTAAGATAGCCACAACATGAATGTTTGAATGTTCGCATTGGTGTTATTTAATAATGCAGGGTCCCTGAACCAAAACTTCCACGGTTAAGTGGGCCCACCATATTGGTTTTTTTGGAGGCCTGCTGGTTTTAAATTAAGCATCTTCATTGAGTTAGGGCAGGCATGGGCAAACTAAGGCCCAGGAGCCAGATGCAGGTACCTACCTCAGGCCCTCCTCATTTTCCCTGTTCTCTTGAGATAAGGATGTCTACTGCATCCTTTTGCAGAAAGGACGGGGGAGGAAGGTACGCAGCAGCTGAGAGCTCTCTGGAGTGCTCTCGGCCACCGCGTGTCTCATCCTCCTCCTGGCATAAAGAGGAGGAAAGCACACAGCAGTCGAGAGTCTGAAGATCGAGGGAGGAGGATTGGGCCAACCGTCGCATGTCTTGTCCTCCTCCCAGCATAAGGACAGTGCGAACAGCCCACAGAGGTGTTCTCAGATGTCGCCTGTCCAGCCTGAAGATCGAGGGAGCAGTATTGGGGAGGAGGATCGGGGAAGTTGTTTCATGTCTTCATGGTGCAAGCGGCCCTATGCTTATGCTGGGAGGACGGCTTTGGAAAGGCACGCAGCGGTCGAGAGCCCTCTGGAGTGCTCTCGGACATCACCTGTCTCGCCCTCCTCCTGGCATAATGCTAAGAGGACAGCCCGGAGATCGAGGGAGGAGTATTGGGAAGGAAGATCTGGTAAATCGTTGCATGTATTGTCCTCCTCCCGGTATAAGGACGGTGTGACCAGCCCTGTGCTTCTGCTGGGAGGACAGCCTGGGAAAGGCATGCAACAATCGAGAGCCCTCTCGAGGGCTCTCGGATGTCACCTGTCTTGCCCTCCTCCTGGCATAATGTTGAGAGGACAACCCAAAGAGGAGGATTGGGGCAGTTGTCACCTGTCTTGTCCTCCTGGCATAAGGACAGTGTGATCACCCTTGTACTTATCCTGGGAGGATGGCTTGAGGAAGGCACACAGAGGTTGAGAGCCCTCTGAATGCTCTCGGACATCACCTGCCTCGCCCTCCTCCTGGTATAATGCTGAGAGGACAGCCTAAAGATTGAGGGAGTAGGATAGGGGCAAGTATCCCATGTCTTGTCCTACTCCCGGCATAAGGACGGTGCGAGCAGCCTTGTACTTATGCTGGGAGGAGGGCCCACAGAGGTTGAGACCCCTCTTTCAGACATTGCCTGACTCACCCTCCTCCTGGCATAAGGCTGAGAGGACAGCCTAAAGATTGAAAGAGGAGGATTGGGGCTATTGTCACATGTCTTGTCCTCCCGGCCTATGGATGGTTAGAGCGGCCTTGTACTTATGCCGGGAGGAGGGCCCACAGAGATTGAGAGCCTTCTGGAGTGCTCTCAGACGTTGCGTGACTCACCCTCCTCCTAGAATAATGCTGAGAGGACAGCCAAAGATTGAGGGAGGAGGATTGGGGCAACCGTCGCATGTGTTGTCCTCCACCTGGCATAACGACGATGCGAGTGGCCTTGTACTTATGCCAGGAGGACGGCTTGAGGCCACACAGAGGTTGAGAGCCCTCTGGATGGCTCTTGGACATCACCTGTCTCACCCTCCTCCTAGTATAATGCTGAAAGGACAGCACAAAGATCGAGGGAGGAGGGTAGGGGCAACCATAACATGTCTTACTCTCCACCTGACATAAGGACGGTGCGAGTGGCCTTGTACTTATGCCGGGAGGATGGCTTGAGGGCACACAGACGTTGAGAGTTCTCTGGAATGCCCTCGGTGGTCGCCTCACTCACCCTCCTGCCGGCATAATTCTGAGAGGACAGCCCAAAGTTTGAGGGAGGAGGATTGGGGCAACCAACACATGTCTTACTTTCCTCCCGGCCTAAGGACAGTGTGAGCAGCCTTGTATGCCAGGAGGACGGCTTGGAGCACTCTGGAGTGCTCTCGGATGCCACCTGTCTCACCCTCTTCCTGGCATAATGCTGAGAGGACACCTCCAAGATTGAGGGAGGATTATAGGGGCAACCATCACATGTCTTACTCTCCACCTGACATAAGGACGGTGCGAGTGGCCTTGTACTTATGCCGGGAGGACGGCTTGAGGGCACACAGAGATTGAGAGCCCTCTGGAGTGCTCTTGGGTGTCACCTATCTCATCCTCCTCCTGGCATAATGCTGAGAGGACACCTCGAAGATCGAGGAAGGACAATAGGGGCAAGCATAACATGTCTTACTCTCCTCCTGGCATAACGACGATGCGAGCGGCCTTGTACTTACGCCGGGAGGACGGCTTGAGGGCACACAGAGATTAAGAGCCCTGTGGAGTGCTCTCAGACATCACCTGTCTCGCCGTCCTCCTGGCATAATGCTCAGAGGACACATCGAAGATCGAGGGAGGAAGATAGGGGCAACCGTCACATGTCTTGCCCTCCTCCCGGCCTAATGACGGTGTGAGCGGCCATTTACTTACGCCGGGGGGATGACCTGGGCTCTGCCCCAACTCCTCCTCGACCTGTTCCTCCCACCCTCCTGGCCCACAATGTGACCCCAAGGCAGAAAGGTTTGCCCATGCCTGCGTTAGGGTCATTTTTGAGCTTTGTGTTGATTCAGGATCAGGTTCAGTGTTTGTCGAACCACAGAGCAGCCTTATATTGACCCTTGAAGCTCTGGAGGCAGTTTCTTGTTGCATTTGGCAGCCATAGCAAACAAAACCAGCCACTGCTTTCAATCAGTGATGGGCAAACTTGGGCCCTCATTTCAGGTGTTTTGGACTCCAACTCCCACAATTCCTGGCCTCAGGCCCCTTCCTTTTCCCCCTCAGCCGCTTAAGCGGCTGAGGGGGAAAAGGAAGGGGCCTGAGGCCAGGAATTGTGGGAGTTGGAGTCCAAAACACCTGAAATGAGGGCCCAAGTTTGCCCATGCCCAATTTAAATACTTTGGGAATTCTCTGCACTTAATTCACCGGGTTGAATCTCAAGTTGAAACTTGTTTAATTACTACTTGGATGAATGGTTAAGCGGTTCGAAATATTTTATACAGGGTGACTATTTTCCTAACGCACGAAGCAGGGAGTTTGAATCCGAACCTCAAGAGAGAGGAACACAGGGTGCCTTATATTGTGAAGCTCCGAACCTTACCCCCCACCCAAGTGAACTACTTAATCTAACGATGCACTTTATTTCCTTTTGCAATTCCGGCCCTTTCCCACTTGCGATTCTTTCCTCTTTAAGTTCGAAAACGGGAGAATGACGACGATGTCTTTTTTAATTCTTCTCCGGTTGATTCTGACGGGAGACGGAAAACCGTACGTACACACATTTTTCCTCTCTCGTTTGTTTTGCATAGTGTTTGATAAGAGTTGTAAATAATTTCGATTTCTATCCAATTGCGTTGAATACAAAAGTGTAAATAAAGTTATTCTAATGTCTGTTAAGGATGCTTACTTATTTTTTTATAATAAAAGCGGTTGTGTACAAACTGGACTGTGTTGGCCATCTTGCTCCTGTCAAAACTTCTATCTATCTATCTCTATCTATCTATCTATCTATCTATCTATCTATCTATCTATCTATTTAAAGTTCTAAAGTACTTACAAAACTAAAGTACTGGTGGTGAACACAAGTAGCGCTGGTGCTTTGCTTCTACAGTGTTGTTTCAGAACTCTAACCAAACATTCAACATTTTATTATTTCACTAGCCGGCCCCTGCCACGCATTGCTGTGGCCCACATGGGGGTTCTGTGTGGGAGGTTTGGCCCAATTCTATCATTGGGGGGTTCAGAATGTTCTTTGATTGTAGGTGAACTATAAATCCCAGTAACTACAAATCCCAAATGTCAAGATTCTATTTTCCCCAAACTCCACCAGTGTTCCTATTTGGGCATATTGAGTTTTCGTGTAGATTTTGGTCCAGATCCATCATTGTTTGAGTCCTCAGTGATCTCTGGAACTAGAACTCCAAAACCAAAGGTGAACTAGAACTCCAAAACGAAAGGACACTGTCCACCAAACCCTCCCAGTATTTTCTGTTGGTCATGGGAATTCTGTGTGCCAAGTTTGGTTCAATTCCATTGTTGGTGGAGTTCAGGGTGCTCTTTGGTTGTGGGTGAACTATAAATCCCAGAAAGTACAACTCCCAAATGACAAAATCAACCCCCCAACTCCACCAATATTCAAATTTGGGCTTATTCAGTATTCGTGCCAAGTTTGGTTCAGACCCATCATTGATTGAGTCCGTAGTTCTGTCTGGATGCAGGTGAACTACAACTCCTAAACCTCAAGGCCAATGCCCACCAAACCCTTCCAGTATTTTCTGTTGGTCATGGGAGTTCTGTGTGCCAAGTTTGGTTCAATTCCATCATTGGTGAGGTTCAGAATGCTTTTTGATTGTAGGTGAACTATACATCCCAGTAACTACAACTCCAAAATGTCAAGGTCTGTTTCCCCCAAACTCCATCTGTGTACATATTTGGGCATATGGAATATTCATGCCAAGTTTGGTCCAGATCCATCATTATTTGAGTCCACAATGCTCTCTGGATGTAGGTGAACTACAACTCCCAAACTCAAGGTCAACGCCCACCAAACATTTTCTGCTGATCATGGGTGAACTGTGTGCCAAGTTTGGTTCAATTCCATCATTGGTGGGGCTCAGAATGCTCTTTGATTGTAGGTGAACTATAAATCCCAGCAACTACAACTCCCAAACGACAGAATTGTAATTTTTTTGAGTGATGGTCTCTCCTTGTGTTGTGAGATGTTTTGTTGCCAAATTTGGTTTGATTTTGTTCATTGGTTCTTTTGTTTTTAAGGTACTCATTATGCACAGAGCATTTATAGATAGATAGATAGATAGATAGATAGATAGATAGATAGATAGATAGCACACAGATTCCACATGGGGAGTGATTAATCTAGGATCTGGGAGTTGTAGTTCAGCCTTATCCAGAGAGCACTGAACCCAGCTGACATTGGATCTGTACCAAACTTGGCACACCCAACATGGCCAACTGTGCATACAGGCACACAGGGATTTGGGGGTAATTGATCTTGGCTCTGGGAGTTGTACTTCACCCTTATCCACAGAGCACTCTCTCTTAGGTGATCCCTCGTTGTCCGAGTAAGATTGCTCTCCAAGTTTGAATACTGCAGCACTGCTGGTCACAGCTGACCTCCAGCTAGAGTGCTCAAGGGCCAGGGCTTCCCAGTTCTCGATATCTATGCCACAGTTTTTGAAGTTAGCTTTAAGCCCATGCCATGAATCAGGGACCTAACAGAAGCTGAAGAGATCAAGAGAAGGTGGCGAGACTATACAGAAGATCTGTATAGGAAGGATAATAATATTGAGGATAGTTTTGATGTGTGGTGAATGAATTAGAACCAGACATCCTGAGGAGTGAAGTTGAATGGGCCTTAAGAAGCATTGCTAACAACAAGGCAGCAGGAGACGACGGGATCCCAGCTGAACTGTTTAAAATCTTAAAAGATGATGCTGCCAAGGTGATGCATGCCATATGCCAGCAAATATGGAAAACACAAGAATGGCCATCAGACTGGAAAAAATCAACTTTTATCCCCATACCAAAAAAGGGAAATGCGAAAGACTGCTCCAACTTCCGTACAGTGGCCCTTATTTCTCCTCATGCCAGTAAGGTAATGCTCAAGATCCTGCAAGGAAGAAGACTCCAGCAAGACATGGAGCGAGAGTTGCCAGATGTTCAAGCTGGGTTTAGAAAAGGCAGAGGAACGAGAGACCAGATTGCCAATATCCGGATGCTGGAGAATGGAGAAAGGCAGGGAGTTTCAGAAAAACATCTACTTCTGCTTCATTGACTATTCTAAAGCCTTTGACTGTGTGGATCATCATAAATGGTGGCAAGTTCTTGGTGGGATGGGCATCCCAAGCCCCCTTCCCTCTCTCCTGAGGAATCTGTACAAGGACCAAGGAGCAACAGTCAGAACTGACCACGGAACAACAGACTGGTTCAAGATTGGGAAAGGCGTCCGGCAAGGCTGCATCCTCTCACCCAACCTTTTTAACTTGTATGCAGAACACATCATGCGAGGATGTGCGGGGCTTGAGGAATGCAAAGCTGGGGTGAAAATTGCTGGAAGAAACATTAACAACCTCAGATATGCAGATGACACCACTCTGATGGCCGAAAGCGAGGAGGAGCTGAGGAGCCTTCTCATCAAGGTGAAAGAAGAAAGCGCAAAAGCCGGGTTGCAGCTAAACGTCAAAAAAACCAAGATTATGGCAACAAGAATGATTGACAACTGGGAAATAGAGGGAGAAAACGTGGAGGCCGTGACAGACTTTGTATTTCTAGGCGCAAAGATGAGTGCAGATGCAGACTGTGGCCAGGAAATCAGAAGACGCTTCCTTCTTGGGAGGAGAGCAATGTCCAGTCTCGATAAAATAGTCAAGAGCAGAGACATCAGACTGGCAACCAAGATCCATTGCCTAGTCCAAGCCATGGTCTTCCCTGTAGTCACCTACGGATGTGAGAGCTGGACCTTCGGGAAGGCTGAGCGAAGGAAGAGAGATGCTTTTGAGCTGTGGTGTTGGAGGAAAGTGCTGAGAGTGCCTTGGACTGCGAGAAGATCCAACCGGTCCATCCTCCAGGAAAGAAAGCCCGACTGCTCACTGGAGGGAAGGAGACTAGAGACAAAGTTGAAGTCCTTTGGCCACATCATGAGGAGACACCAAAGCCTAGAGAAGGGAATGATGCTGGGGAAAGTGGAAGGCAAAAGGAAGAGGGGCCGACCAAGGGCAAGATGGAGGGATGGCATCCTTGAAGGGACTGGACTGACCTTGAAGGAGCTGGGGGTGGTGACGGCCGACAGGGAGCTCTGGCGTGGGCTGGTCCATGAGGTCACAGAGTTGGAGACGACTGAACGAATGAACAACAACAATGAATCTACAGAACAGGGCAGATGGTGAGAATTGAGATTCAGTGTGCACATTGAGTTTGTTCTTTCTGCAAGCCGCGTGTGCCTCTGAGTGGATTGGCCTTTGCTGCAATCAGGACTAAGTGTCGGGACCAAAATTGCCAACCTCCAGCAAGTGCATCTGCTCTTGAGAAGCAGGCAGCTGCCCGTCCTCAATTCTGACTCAGCCTGACGTGTGAGGACTTTATTTTTAAATACAAATTAGAGTAATTCTTATACCCAAATTTGTAATTCCGGCTGTCGGAAAGAAGAGTTGCAGTCCTTAAACTCTGGGCTTGGCTTTGCTTGGATGTCATAAAACTTCGCCACTTAGAATCACAGAATCCAAGAGTTGGAAGAGACCTCCTGGGCCATCTTCCAGTCCAACCCCATTCTGCCAAGAAGCAGGAATATTGCATTCAAATCACCCCTGACAGATGGCCATCCAGCCTCTGTTTCAAAGCTTCCAAAGAAGGAGCCTCACCACACTCCGGGGCAGAGAGTTCCACTGCTGAACAGCTCTCACAGTCAGGAAGTTCTTCCTAGCAGAGGCGGCCCTAGGTAATTTTCAACAGTAAGCAAACAGTATTTTGGCCCCCCCCCCCCAACCAATCATTGATATATATTTTCTGTTCGTCGTGGGAGTTCTGTGTGCCATATTTGGTTCAATTCCATCATTGGGGGAGTTCAGAATGCTCTTTGATTGTAGGTGAACTATACATCCCAGTAACTACACTTGCTGCATTTGCTCCCTTGCCTGGCCCGCTTTGGGTCCGGAGAACAGTTTAGCTGCATCTACACTGGAGAACTAACACAGTTTGAGACCACTTTAGCTGCATCTACACTAGAATATTAATAATAATAATTAATTAACTTCGAGACCACTTTAGCAGCATCTACACTGTAGAATTAACACAGTTCGAGACCCCTTTAACTGCCCTGGCTGAATGGTGAAGGACCCACACTCTTGGGAGAGAAGGCTACAAACCTTGCCAAGCTACACCTCCCTTGACCCAATATCATGTCAAAAGCCCTTTCCCTTTGGGCACGCCAGCCTCTGTGCCTCATGCCAATGTTTTGAACTTCATCTCCCAGGATCCTCCGCCATGGATGGAGCAAGCCGAGGCGCCTGGGAGTTGGAGTCCGGAAGAGCAGCCCCGCCCGCCTGCGCAAAGGATGCCGGGGCGGGTAGTGCGCGAGCGGGGCAGCGGGAGGGAGGGGCGCGGCGAGGAACGACAACTCCCGGCGTGCCCCGCGGAGGGGGCGGGGCTTGTTTGGACGAAGCGGCGCTTGTGTGCGTGGAAGCATCCCTCAGTCGGCGCCGGAGGCGGAAGCGAGCGGGAGTGAGGATGTGGCTGAGCCCGGAGGAGCTGCTCCTCAAGAGCGGGCTCAAGCTCTGGCTCCCCGAGCGCGCCAACCGGTACTTCGTGCTCCAGCGGAGGAGGGGCTACGGCGAGGAGGGCGGCGGAGGAGGAGGAGGAGGGCTGGCCGGTGAGTCAGTCAGGGAAGGAGTGGGCCTCAGGCCTCTGGGACTACAACTCCCAGCATTCCTCACAGCCTCAGGCCTCTTCCCCTTCAGCCGCTCACCAAACTAGAACTCTCATCATCAGCTTGCTCTGTTCAAGAGAGCTGGTGCCTCAGCAAACTACAACTCCCATTATGATTATTATTAGCTGGTGCTTCACCAAACTGCCATTCCCATTATTATTATTATTATTATTATTATTATTATTATTATGTTATTATTATTATTATTAGCCTGCTGTGCTCAAGAAAGCTGGTGCATCACCAAACTGCAACTCCCATTATTATTATTATTATTATTATTATTATTATTATTATTATTATTATTATTAGCTTGCTCTGCTCAAGAGAGGTGGTGCATCACCAAACTGCAACTCCCATTATTATTATTATTATTATTATTATTATTATTAGCTTGCTCTGCTCAAGAGAGGTGGTGCATCACCAAACTGCAACTCCCATTATTATTATTATTATTATTATTATTATTATTATTATTATTAGCTTGCTCTGCTCAAGAGAGGTGGTGCATCACCAAACTGCAACTCCCATTATTATTATTATTATTATTATTATTATTATTATTATTATTATTATTATTATTAGCTTGCTCTGCTCAAGAGAGGTGGTGCATCACCAAACTGCAACTCCCATTATTATTATTATTATTATTATTATTATTATTATTAGCTTGCTCTGCTCAAGAGAGGTGGTGCATCACCAAACTGCAACTCCCATTATTATTATTATTATTATTATTATTATTATTAGCTTGCTCTGCTCAAGAGAGGTGGTGCATCACCAAACTGCAACTCCCATTATTATTATTATTATTATTATTATTATTATTATTATTATTATTATTTAATTTGGGATCAGAAGTGTTTAAATTTGCATGTCCATAATGAGATATCTTGAAGTTAGGAGTTATTATTATTAGCTCAGCTCTGATCAAGAAAGCTGGTGCTTCACCAAACTACAATTTCCATTGTTGTTATTATTATTATTATTGTTATTATTAGCCTGCTCTGCTCAAGAAAGCTGGTGCATCACTAAACTGCAATTCCTATTATTATTATTATTATTATTATTATTATTATTATTATTATTAGGTTGCTCTGCTCAAGAGAGCTAGTGCTTCTCCGAACTACAACTCCCATTATTATTATTATTATTATTATTAGGTTGCTCTGCTCAAGAGAGCTAGTGCTTCACCAAACTACAACTCCCATTATTATTATTATTATTATTATTATTATTATTATTATTATATCATTATTAGCTTGCTCTGCTCAAGAGAGGTGGTGCATCACCAAACTGCAACTCCCATTATTATTATTATTATTATTATTATTATTATTATTATTATTAGCTTGCTCTGCTCAAGAGAGGTGGTGCATCACCAAACTGCAACTCCCATTATTATTATTATTATTATTATTATTATTATTATTATTTAATTTGGGATCAGAAGTGTTTAAATTTGCATGTCCATAATGAGATGTCTTGAAGTTAGGAGTTATTATTATTAGCTCAGCTCTGATCAAGAGAGCTGGTGCTTCACCAAACTACAACTCCCATTATTATTATTATTATTATTATTATTATTATTATTAGCTTGCTCTGCTCAAGAGAAGCTGGTGCATCACCAAACTGCAATTCCCATTATTATTATTATTATTATTATTATTATTATTATTATTATTATTAGCTTTCTCTGCTCAAGAGAAGCTAGTGCTTCACCAAATAAAATTCCCACTATTATTATTATTATTATTATTATTATTATTATTATTATTAGGTTGCTCTGCTCAAGAGAGCTAGTGCTTCACCAAACTACAACTCCATTATTATTATTATTATTATTATTATTATTATTATTATTATTAGCTTGCTCTGCTCAAGAGAAGCTGGTGCATCACCAAACTGCAATTCCCATTATTATTATTATTATTATTATTATTATTATTATTATTATTATTAGCTTTCTCTGCTCAAGAGAAGCTAGTGCTTCACCAAATAAAATTCCCACTATTATTATTATTATTATTATTATTATTATTATTATTATTATTATTAGCTTGCTCTGCTCAAGAGAGCTGATGCATCACCAAACTGCAATTATTATTATTATTATTATTATTATTATTATTATTATTAGCTTTCTCTGCTCAAGAGAAGCTAGTGCTTCACCAAATAAAATTCCCATTATTATTATTATTATTATTATTATTAGCTTGCTCTGATCAAGAGAGCTAGTGCCTCACCAAACTACAACTCCCATTATTATATATGTGTATATATATGCACAAGGACACACAAATACACACATACACACCCATATACATATACACATGCACACACATATGCACAAATATACACACAAACATGCATATAGACAAGCACACACATACATAATATACATAAAAGCATATAAACAAATACACAAATATATACACACACTAGCCGTCCCCTGCCACGTGTTGCTGTGGCCCACTCTGGTAGTCATGGGGGTTCTGTGTGGGAGGTTTGGCCCAATTCTATTGTTGGTGGGGTTCAGAATGCTCTGTGATTGTAGGTGAACTATAAATCCCAGCAACTACAACTCCCAAATGTCAAGATTCTATTTCCCCCAAACTCCACCAGTGTTCACATTTGGGCATACTGAGTATTCGTGTAGAGTTTGGTCCAGACCCATCATTGTTTGTGTCCACAGTGTTCTCTGGATGTAGGTGAACTACAATTCCCAAACTCAACATCAATGTCCACCAAACCCTTCTAGTGTTTTCTGTTGGTCATGGGAGAACTGTGTGCCAAGTTTGATTCAATTCCATCATTGGTTGAGTTCAGAATGCTCTTTGTTTGTAGGTGAACTAATAAATCCCAGCAACTACAACTCCCAAATGACAAAATCTGTATTATTATTTTTTTGAGTGAAGGACATACATTGGGTTGTTAGGTGTCTTGTGTCCAAATTTGGCGTCAATTTGTCCTGTGGTTTATGAGTTCTGTTAATCCCACAAACAAACGTTACATTTTTATTTATATAGACTAGCTGTACACAGCATGTGTTGCTGTGGCCAACCTTCCCTCCTTTCTTTCTCTCCTTCCTCCCTTTTTCCTTCCCTTTCCCCTCCCCCCCTTTTTCTTTCCCTCTTTCTCTCCTTCCTTCTCTACCTTTCTTTCTTTCTTTCCTTCTCTTTCCTTTTCTCGCCCTCTTTCCTTCCTTCTCTACCCTTCTTTCTTTCCTTCTTTATCTCCTTCTCTCCTTCTTTCTCTACCCTTCTTTCTTTCTGTCCTTCTCTCCTTCCCTCCTTCCTTCTCTACCCTTCTTTCTTTCCTTTTTTATCTCCTTCCCTCCTTCTTTCTCTACCCTTCTTTCTTTCTGTCCTTCTCTCCTTCCCCCCTTCTTTCTCTACCCTTCTTTCTTTCTTTTTATCTCATTCCCTCCTTCTTCCACTACCCTTCTTTCTTTACTTTTTTATCTCCTTCCCTCCTTCTTTCTCTACCCTTCTTTCTTTCTGTCCTTCTCTCCTTCCCCCCTTCTTTCTCTACCCTTCTTTCTTTCCTTTTTTATCTCCTTCCCTCCTTCTTTCTCTACCCTTCTTTCTTTCTGTCCTTCTCTCCTTCCCCCCTTCTTTCTCTACCCTTCTTTCTTTCTTTTTATCTCATTCCCTCCTTCTTCCACTACCCTTCTTTCTTTACTTTTTTATCTCCTTCCCTCCTTCTTTCTCTACCCTTCTTTCTTTCTGTCCTTCTCTCCTTCCCTCCTTCCTTCTCTACCCTTCTTTCTTTCCTTTTTTATCTCCTTCTTTCTCTACCCTTCTTTCTTCCCTTCTCTCCTTCCCTCTTTCTCTCCCTCCTTCTCTCCTTCCCTCCTTCTTTCCCTTCTCTCCTTCTTCCTTCCTTCTATTCCTTCTTTCTTCCTTCCTTCTCTCCTTCCTCCTTCCTTCCTTCCTTCCTTCCTTCCTTCCTTCTTCCTTCTTCTCCTTCCTTCCCTCTCCTCCCTCCCTCTCCTCCCTCCCTCCTTTCTGTGTATGTGTTTTGTGTGTGTATATGCATATATGTGGTATATATATGGTTTGCACACGTTGTAATATTTTTTTTTTTGTTTTTTGGCTTTTTAAGTCTCTTCTGTTGCGTTTTCCAGTTTTTCTATGAGTGATGGTCACTCGTTGGCCTGAGAGGTGTCTTGTGCCCAAATTTGGTGTCAATTCGTCCAGTGGTTTTTGAGTTATGTAATCCCAGAAACGAACATTACATTTTTATTTATATAGATAAGTAAAAAGCACTTTAAAGGAATAGGTAAATCCAATTAGGTAAGAAGATAAGCATGAACATTGTAATTTATTTTATTTTCTTTTTTGGCTTTTTAAGTCTTTTCCGCTGTGTTTTTCAGTGTTTTTATGAGTGATGGTCACTCGTTGGCCTGAGAGGTGTCTTGTGTCCAAATTTGGTGTCAATTCGTCCAGTGGTTTTTGAGTTCTGTGAATACCGCAAACGAACATTACCTTTTTATTTATATAGATATATACACACACACATATGCGCACATATATACACAAATATATACACAGACATAAACACATATATACAGACTGGGCCACAGCAACGTGTGACAGGGGACGGCTAGTTATTCTATATTCTTAAATTGGGAATATGGAAGCTCGGAACCCTAAAATCTGCCGGAACAGTCAACCTTCACGAACACGACAAGCTCCAATTCTCCTTGTTTTGGAAAAAACCCAACTCAGCTGGCAGCCATCACCACGTCTAGTGGTGGTGAATCTCAATAGAGAAATTATGCATTGTGCGAAGAAATGTGTTTCTTTTGTCAGTCTCCTTGGCCATCTGCCTGCTGCCAGTTGGTTTTGTTGCATGGACCACTTTGCTCAGCAGATTGTTATGCCGGGGAGAGAGAAAATTCAGAAGCTTCTTCTGCAGCAATTACTTTTTCTGTCCCGTCC